AAAACTCTCCAAGTTTCTGTAGTATTATGTGCAAGCATGTCCGCATATAGGTGATGAGGCAGCACCGTAAAATGCGAAGAAGCGTATCAACCCATCCACGCACATGCCAGTCGAGATGTGAATCGTACAGAGGAAAGTTCAGTGGCTTGCCAAATTTGAATCTGTGACCAAAGTGCAATGTGAATATTGTCGCATGTACAATGAACTTCTACCACATTAAAATAACATTAATCGGTGGCATAAGAAGTTGAAGGATACCAGCAGTTTGTTGGATAAACCCCATTTTGGCAGGCCATTGGTCAGTGACGAGTCTGTAGAGACTATATGGAAGAGTTACCTAAGAAGCTCTTTCAAATTGCAGCTGTCGCACGTTATCAAACCGAAAGATAAACCCAAACAATTTGCGTTTGCTACAGATATGCTTCATGAGGTCGACAATGATAACCGATTTCTGCAGAAGATTGTGTTTAGTGATGAGGCGACATTACCTGTTAGTGGACATGTTCATCGCCATAACATCCAAATATGGGCTGCTGAAAATCCTCATGCCCACATAAAATACGAACGTAAGAGTCCTAAAGTGAACGTATGGTGTGGCCTGATGCATGATAAAGTGATAGGACCATTTTTCTTTGTGGAGTAGACTGTGATGGCATGTAGAGACTGTGACGGAATAGACATGTAGACGGAACCCACATCAAACTGCACTGAATAGGTATGAAACTTTAAGAGGTTTTCTTATGTTTGGTGAAGATTTCACATGTCTATCTTGTTTTGTTACTTTGACCGATCAAAAGTGCATCATGACTTTACGGATGCACTATATAATTTCATCAATTAATTGTATTAAAAAGGTCAATTTAATTCACATATCTTTTTTTTTTTTTTTTTTTTTTTTTTTTTTTTTAAGTGTGGGGAGGTAAACCCTAGCAATAGGATTAATAAGTAACATTTTATTCTCTTTCCACAAAATCACATATTTATGAAGTTATACAATTGTTATCAAACATTTTATACTGAATCCAGGCATCTTAATCATCAAGCCTTGAACATTCAAAATATGTTTGCTGATTAATGCATATAATGCATGGATTAGAAAATTATTTAATGAAGTTGTGATTGACACACGAGTACCACATAAAGAAGTTTTTACAAAGCATATCATGTTCTTTTCAAAGCAGGATGTAATTAAAATAGTTACAAATAAAGATTGTTTTCAATTTGTGTGTGTGTGAAATGTTCTATCGCATTTTTTCTGTACTTTTCTGGACACTTGTTGATTTTTATGCTGTATGGGAGAAACTGAACAAACACTACTTATGAGCCCACTAAATTTGAATCCAATTTAATCACCTGTACAGCTTAACAATGCTGTACAAGAAAATTTTAATGACACTTTAAGAACAAACTGAAACAAAATAAGGTATTTTCATTAAAAGAATATCAGATGAACAAACACAAAAGAAAATAATCTGATAATTAATTAAACAATTTTTCTAGAGGTAACCTCATACAGTTATTTATTTTCCTTTTTCTAAACTTTTTTTAGACTGTATTTTTCATGAAAAATTATCAGTAAAACTTTATAAAAAAAAGATTAATTTATTAATGACCCTTATTAGTTACCGTAATTTTCGGAAGAAAGGCCGCCTCAGCGTAAACGCCGCACTCGAGAAAAATGGCAGGAAAAAAACTAAAATTGCACAGAAATGCCGCAATAGATTAAATTGCGCGGGACATCGTCGTGGGCCGTATAGATGCAAAATCTCAACCTATGTCCTGATATATGACATATCAGTTAAGAAAAATGCATGAAATGAAACCACAACTCAAAAATAAATTAAAGGTAAGAAATGTTGAAAATATATTTACGTTCACGAATATACTTATATTTACCCACTAAAGAAGTCCATATTTGTAATACTCGGACTATATTATAAGAAGTGTTGCAACAACGAAATATTAAATTTGGATGACAAAAGGAAGTTTTTAATTTTACTTATAAAAGGAATTACAGCAAACTATACATCATATGAAGCCATTAAAATCTGATTCTTCACTTTCTGAATTAAAAAGATTTAGTAAATCCTGATCTAAGCCCAAGTCTTCCAGATCGTCACATTCATCCTCTTGGTTTACAGTCTCTTTATCTAAAGATATAATTTCAGCTTCTTTGAATCCTGCTATTATTGATGATGTTTTTACTGATTTCTACGCACTTCCTACCCACTTTGCAACTTCTTCATAAGATGCTCTACGCATTTTAACGCTTTTGGTATACGTATGCAATCCTTCACTCATCCAACACTCCCACCGCTTTCGGACTTCACCTTTGAAGGATTCATTACCTGACAAATCTAATGGTTGCAAGATTTTTGTCAAACCACCAGGAATTATTGCTACGGTCGTAGACAATTTTTGACATCTGGTTTTCACTCATTCAAGTAAATGAGCACTCATGGAATCCATTATCAATAACCCTTTTGGTTGGAAAAAAGATCTCTTACGACACTGCCAAACTTTCTGTAGCCACTCATGCATGATTGTTTCGCACATCCATCCGTTTTTGTTTGCACAAATAATTACGTCATTAGGAAAATCTTCCTTCGGAATAGTTTTCCGTTTAAAAATGATCATCGGCTTTAGCTTGTCACCGTTTGTGGCACAAGCTAACACATATGTAAATGACGTTCTTTTATGCCCCATCGTAAGCACAGATACAGTTTTTGCACCAGCTTCATCAACAGTCTTATTTGCAGGAGAGTCAAAAGTTAACGGCGTTTCATTCATATTTATTATCTGTTACTGAAGAAGTTTCCTTTTGTTAATAATATCTGTCACATAATTTAGAAAAGATGCCTTTTTATCCTGCCAGTCCATTGGTAATTGTTGCCCGACTGTTGTTCTAGTACGCGCAGAATTATTTTTTCTTTTCATAAATCTGCTACACCAGCAAGGCCCTCCTTTGAAATCATTTATGTTCAGTTGCTTTGCTATAAATTTTGCTTGTAAGCGAATTTTTACAGTCAAAATTCCCATTCCTTTTCTTCGTTGCTCCTTTATCCAGTTTGCAAGGTCGTCCTCTAGATTCGGCCACCTTACAGTACCACTTCTTTTGGCTCGTTTCTGTAGTGGCATATTTTTAAGTTTTTCTTTTTGAGTTCTCCAACATCAAATACATCTCTCGTCCACTTCAAACTCTCGAGCTGCTCCTCTATTTCCAATTTGTTCAGCACGTGAAATTACATTAAGCTTAAAACCAGCAGTATAGCTTCTGTGCCGTTTAGGTGCCATTTTCAAAAATTTTCCGCTCCGTTCTAACTAATAACTATCCAACAAGTACTTGTACAAACTGATAGGATCTGTATCTGGTAGAATCCCAAGAAAAATAATTCATGCTGAAGGGGAAATACGTCAGAGTTCGTTATTGCGAAGCAGGTGGAGTTTTGTCCGCCTTTGAAAAAAATTGCAAAAAAGGCAGGGGTGGGGAGAGGTTGTGTCCTGAAAGATTCATCGAATGGCAGAGGAGAGAGACTATTCAAAATGCTGATTTGAAAGGGGGAAGAATGTTATTGTTCTGAGATCCCGTTTAGGGTGAATAAGGCATGTTGATCCGTTCAAGGGAAAGAATGTAAACAAAATAACTTTCGCAAAAAGCATCTGAGTGGTCTATGTACAATGACAAAGTTATTCAAACTATGTACAATGACAAAGTTGTTCAAACTATGCACAATGACCATCAAAAGAAATGTTTTATTTTTAGTGCACCTAAACACCACATGGGTAGAAACGCCACACCCGTTGAAAATTTAAGTTTTAAACACGTAAACGCCACGGCGTTTCTTTCGGAAATTACGTTAACTATGTATGTTTAAAATTCTATTAAATTGCATTAATTTTCTACTCATTTTCAGTTTTTAAATGCTTAGGTCTTTCACCTTATTTTTTCAGCTGAATCTTATTATTATTAGTTAATACAAAATTAAGAAATAATAAAAGTAAAAATATTCCTCTTTCCTTCTTGCTCTCATAAACTAATATGGGAATATGCATTTATTACTTTTAAAATTTGAAAAACGTATGTTTGTGAGTTATCTTCATGCAATGATTTATACGTGCTTTATTTTTTTACCATATTTTCAACAATGATGCTTTTTTTAAACTGCAAAATTTTTTAACCACATTATTTTTTAGCACAATATTTTGTGCCATGATGTTTTTGCCTTGTGTTGTTTTCTCCACATTGTTTTTTTGCTGTGACCCTCAAAATCATTAAAACCTTAATAACAAAACTTCAAATTCTTGCCATAATAGTTAATGTCATAATAATGCTAATTAGCCTATTAATTGTAATTAACCTACAATGATAATTAACCAGTTAAACTGTAGAGACATTAGGATTTTTTGGAAAAGATGAAGAGATAAAAAATTAGAAATGCCTTCGCCGGGAATCAAACCACAGACATCTGGAATACCGGCTCAGCGGGCAGAACCACTACACCACAAAGGCACGTTAGGAAGGTGGGAGAAATACCGTATATATTTCCTCTTTTAAAGGGCATCTGGGGTTTTTAGGGGATCCAATTGCCAAATCCTGGATGCTGAGAGTCATCATCCACAACCCATTTAGTTCGGGCACCACTGTAGAGACATTAGGTTAATTGGAAAACCCAGAGAGATGAAAAAATAAGCAACACGTTTCATAAGGAATCGAACCACGGACCTCTGGAATACCGGCCCAGTGTGCAAAACCATTACACCATGAAGGCATGCTAGGAAGGTGGGAGAAATACGTTATAAAACTACTATGCTGGAATCTACAGTGCTAATTAACCAATTAAATGCATTCGCAGGCTGTGCGAAATTGCTTCAGGGGATGCCAATTTGAGAATGCTGCTGTATGTGATTTAAATACCTAAATATTGCCTATTTGTGGATCTTCTTGTAAAAGCTAATTTGGAGTTTTTCTGTTTATAAATATTTACTTATTTCTATTACAGTTGGGAAATTAAGAAAACGGTGGCTTCCACAGACAATATCCAATACCGGTGTCCAAATGCTGAAGGCCGTTAAAGATAGTGTTGACCCTCTTAATATTTTTGCTAATGGCAATTTGTTTGTTACTGATTGATTTTATTTTAAGATTAATATAATACTGAACAAAGATTATGAAGCATTATTGCTCAATTTCGTTTTTCTTTTCATTTTTAAATTTTATATCAGAACATTGTTTTTAAATATCATGTTTTATACTTGACAAAACTAACATTTCAAGAAGGATGTGATATGTATGATGTGGTAAGACTGCATTCCTTATAATAATAATGTATGAACTTTTATTGTATTTGAAGAGCCTTATGTAGCACCAAGATGTTTAAATGTCAGTATGCAACTTTTTATAGTACCTTTGATTGCTTGTTAATGGACAATAAATAGTATAACATAGTTAATGTATAAGAAAAAGTACCAAGAGGAATATAATAAATGCATCTCAAAAATATGTACATTATATTTAAGTAAAGTGATAATTTCAGAACAGCATCTAAAAAAATTATTTTAATTTCCTGACAGTTTGGACAATTTATAGGTATTGATTTTTCTGAAGTTTGTTTAATTATATGTATTAAATCTGTAAAGTTTTATCTGTAGAAGAAATGGCAAAAATTATGCAATAACCATTCCCAAATGAAGTGTAGGATATTTTCTGTGGAAAGGACTTTATAACTGGTGATGGATATGGTGCTTTCTTGGTAGTATCTGAAACTTGTGCATTGCAAATCAGGCAATTTGCCAACATTTAAAATTTGTACTTTGCAGGTCAGGCAATTAAGTTTGCCAGTTTGGGCAATTAAGTGCAAAGGCCACTTTATTAAAGGAGTACCTTGGCTATATTTAATATTGAACCTTTATTTATTTTACTTTATGGTTGTCTTTCACTTCCAGAATTTGGAAGCTCTGATTTCATTTATTTACTCTAAATTAAAAATACTGAATGGAGGGTTTTTAATATCCTTCTTCTGGCTGCAGGTTCTTAAAATTTTAATGTAGTTATCATTTATCATGTCATTATCTCTTCATTTGCATTAAATCATTAACTCACAATATAAAGAAAAATACTGCTTAATGTATATGTATTCAATTTGTAGATGCTTAATGTTTAACAAGTACTTCTTCATTTTAACACTGCCTTGTATATTAGTGCCAAGACTTCTCATTTGCACTGTATAAATATTTTGAGAAATTAATTAAAAGCAGAAATGTTATATTAGTTTATGTAAAAGTAAACTAATACCAAAAATCAATATGAGAGGATAAATGAAAACCTACTGTAATAAGAAGAAAGAGCAGAATTTAGCATTTCCCTTTGTACTAATCAGTTTGAAATATTCAAAATAGCATTTATAAATATGATATATACTAGTTATACTGTTACCTTAAAATTTTTTCCTTGTTAAACATTATGTGCAATGGTTATTTCAATAATTTTAAATCTCTGTATTCTGTATAACTATGTTAAAAAAGATATTGCTTGATTTAGTCATACTTATGTTGAAAAGTACCAGATTTCCTCATATATTCTTCTCCTAGCTGCTTTAGCTTCTGAAATTTTAAGAATATTTGCATCATTTTCCTCTTCCTCTGTTCCACATAGTTTTTCCTCCTGAGGATTAATTTTTTGTTAAATTGTATTCCCTTGATTTTTTAAGTGTATTCAATTTGTATTTACATTTTTGTTTTAACATTTCATCCACTTTATTTTCTCATGTTTTTTGAAATGCACTTTGTGCAGATGCTTCATTAATCTACACATCCGTGGCAAGTGTTCTCAGATATAAAATACTTTCGAGACATGATTTCATTTTAATTTTGTTATTTATGTTTCAGTTTTTATGTGAATTTAGACATGAAAAATAACTCCTGCCATTTTTATGCCTTTCTAGACCTGTCCAAATAAGAATAGTTTTTTGTTTTTACAGTATTTTGCCAAAATACTTTCTTCATTCTGTAAGAAATATTTTATAATTGCTTAAAGACTTTCAAGAAGCATTCTTTCTAAGTAGAGGGGGTAATTTTATATAATTAATATAAGTAACATAATTCTATTCTATATTTGCTTTTTGTATTTTCTTGAAATAAAAGCTAGAAATATTTTCATGTTATAAGTAACTAACTATGTTTTTAAAGAATTGAATTTGTTCCGTACTGATTAATTTTCTCTTCAGTATTTCCTGAAGAGTAATTTCAGTACCAAAAGATGATATCTTTATCAATAAACCTCTTAAGTAAATGAAATAAAACAATTTTGACAACTCTGATCATTCTAAAATTTTGTTTCACTCAAAGCAGAAGGTATTAAAAAGGATCCTTTCTGATATCTTAAGCAAAAAATAACATTTGGAATGCAATAACATTTTGTTTGTGTTGTAAGTGTACTTTGATAGCAGAGCTTATTAAGATATTATTTCAAAAATTGAAGAAATTAACTATTAAAATAAATTCTAATAAGCATTTGAGGTTAAAATAACATGCTGAATAACGATTATTGGAGAAGTTATGCAAGGAGAATCAACATAAGTAACGTTTGTAAATCGAGAATCAACGTTTGTAAATTTTGCGGGACTAGTTTCTATGGTTCTGTATTTATGTATCTGTTTTGTATGTATGTATATTATGTATGCACATTCTTGTTGTTTAACTTCTTCAATAATAAGCATTTGAGGGCAATAAATTTGGTAGCAATTTTTTTTTTAATTGCTCTTTTAATACTCATGAGTAATTGTCACTTGAATATGTAATAATAGTAATTTAAAAGTTTTGAAAAATATTTAGAAAATGTTTTTCATAATGGGTTATTTATTTTTGTAATATTATTTTAAAAAGATATTTATTCAGAATATAACTGTTGTATTTATTTTATTTTATAACATGTGCAGTTTATAACATGTTTTGATTTTCTTCGTACCATGTCTATTGTATAAAAGTAGTTTTTAACCTTTTTTTGCCCCATGCACTTCTTTCACCATTTCCATATTTGAATAAATTTAGATTATTTTGTCATGTGTTTTATAAATTAAACAAGAAAAGTACAGAAAATATTGATAAATACCAAAACTTGTGTAAAAGTAGCTTTTTAAATTCATAAACTGTAACCAAATCTTTAACAGGTAAATAAAAGGCTGACTGCAGTCTTCCTAGTCAGGAATTCCCGGTGTAAGACATTGCTTCAATAACTTGCTAAATAAATTTTTCATATATAGAATTTTTGTTTCTGTAATCACTTTTAATATTTCAAATAGGTTTGCAAACTTAAGAATATTATTTTAGTAATCAGTTTAAGGTTAATAGTAATAGCAAAGATTGTTTGCAAAATCAAATGATATATATGTGCTTAATTTAAAAATAACTTATAACATAAAATCAGAATGAAAGTAATCTTTCAAGTAACGAGTTCTTTTGCCATGGAATAAATAGAATTTAACAACGAAAATATATGCATATAAGCACTTTCATTTTTATTTTATTTTTGCTGATCTATGTATCTTATGTGCATGGTGTAAATTATATTTGCTTTGCAATGTTGATTTATATAGAACTCGTACAAAAGGTTTGCCATTGCTATTTAAGTCAACAGAAAATTATAAATAAAAACATACTATGTTAAGATGAGAGTTTCCCCCCCCCTCCCATTCTTCTTTTCTTATTTAAAAAGAAATCAGAAAAAGTGTATGTGAGGTGAATATATTTATAGTTACATAAACATTAATTCAGTTAAAACGTGTTCTCAAGAACTCATCTATTTCTTGCAAAATGATTTGTGCTGCCTCATGAACATTTTGGTTTGTTTCAAAAGTAAAGAATGCCAAACTATTTTCCACATTATTTCGAAATTCCGTTATATTCTCTTGTAGTTGTTCTGGATCGATGGTCAATTGCTCTGTTAGTATGCGTTCCTTGTATTTCTGAAATTCAGCCGTGCTCAACCAGAGATTCTCATAAGGTTTAAGATTCTCTGATATCTTATTAATTTGTGGATAGTTAGTAAGGGATAGACCAAAAAGTCGTTCACGTTTCCTGTAAAGTTGTGCTTGCTCATCATATTTTGTTAAATCTTTGCGAGCTTTGCGCACCTCCGTAGCTATGAAAGAAGCCTTTTCAAAATCAGACCATTGCTTAAATGAGTCAGTTTGAATTCTGAGCTGAGTAAGGTTTCCTTTTAGTTGCTCTTGGTCTGAGCTCAGATGTTCTTTAAGAAGTTCCCTTTCATCGTCAAATGATTCTGTTCTTTTTTCCAGTGCTTTCATGGTCAGTTGTGGCAAACCCTGTAATATAGTTAGATTACTGTGAGCAGTTTACTTTGATAAAACATTTTAAATGAAATACTGAAATCATGCGTAATTTGATATCAGTTATCATGTTGGTGATTAAATACATACACATTTAAAAGGTGTTTATATATGTATATATATATATATACATATGGTGTGCTTGCATACAATGCAAAACAAAATCCAGACATTTTTTCCGGATGACAAAACATTTGAAGAATTTTGATTTTTACTTCACGTCGCATTCTTTCATATAACTTATATAATTAAAAAATAAATAAATAAATAAAGTCTTTGTTGTCACCCTAATATACAAATATCAAGGTATGCAAATATTCAAGTGGAAAAAAGTGTTTGTATTAAATAATTATAACTTAAAATTCAATGAAACCAATATTAAAATTTAATATTTTGTGAAATGTCCATTGTTTTCTATGACAGCCTGTAGTCTTGATATTCATTCTACTAACATTTTGGTTAGATATGACGATATATTTTCCCATGTTTTCAAAAAGATATTATTAAATTCATTTTTATTTGAAAATTTATGTTTTCTGCCTTTTTGATTCAAAAAAATACCATAAATTCTCAATCGGTTTGAGATCAGGTTATTGGGGTGGAGTATACAGTCTTTTGGGATCTTTATGCAAGAGGAATTCTTTTGTAATCTTAGCTGTATGTTTAGCGTGATTTTCTTGTTGAAAACAGAAGTCATCTTTAATATCTAATTTTGACACACTTTGAACTAAATTCTCTCTGCGTATTTTCTCACATTCAAAATTCCCTCAGTTCTAGTCAAATTACTAGTTCTATTCCAGCTCATATTACCCCACACCATTACATTCCCACCACCATACTTTACAGCTGGATATACCTTTTTAGGATTTAGAGCCGTTTTATTTTTTCTTCAAGTAGTTTTGTTGCCATCGGATACAAACAAGCAAAATTTACTTTCATTATTGAAAATAGTCTTTTTCTAAAAGCCAATTTGTACATTCCAGGGTCCCAATATCTTTAAGATTTAGAAAAGGTTTTTTGGGCTCAAAATTTTTAGAATTTAAAGATTCGCTTATGCGCAGAAAATTCGCCTAAGCATGATAAATAGCTGAACTAATGCTATTCAGGCTTAACCTTCGTCAGAAACAACACAGTCACCAATCTTATGATACTATATCGCCTATAGTGTACAGCAAACGCTAGCTAAGCTTTATGATGATAGTTGCAATTTGAAACTTATCAGATCATCATAAACAAAGCGAAATTTTTCGATTGTTGGAATTTGTAAAGAAATGTGTACAAGCGGTAATAAGTGATGATAATATAGCAAAATGTTTTCATTGCGATGGCAGTGCCCCAGTAATTAGTCAACTAACGAGCGGCGAAATCTGTAGTACGACTGTCAATTCAGAATATATCGTTACCGATAGTGAAGAACGTAACAGAGAGGTTGTTGACATCGAAAAACTTTCGATTGACAATTTAGTGGGAATTATCGAAGCAGCAATTGCAAGACTTGCATAGTGGAACTTTGCAACTGAACAAGAAATTATGTCTATCTATAGAAGTAAAGAGAAAATATTAGCGCAAAAGACGAAGAAACGTAAACAACTGGCATTGAAAGAAATATTTAATAAAACATATGAATATTGAGTTTTATTTTTTTATTTTTATTTATTTTTTTTTTTTTGATTCCTTTAAGGTCATAAATGCTTCATTATTTCATAAACCAGTATGTCATATTTTTATTTTTATAATTTCTACATATTGTACTAGATTTAAGCTCATGATAATATCCGGAATTGCCGAAGTGCCAACGAGTCCGGATCTCAGACTTTGTATGGTGGTCTGCCTGAAAATTCAGTGAGAATAAGATGTGTATTTGAACTGTGTTTTAATAAGATACTAGTATATAAATAATTTACTAGAAGTTTATTTTATACGAGGTACTTGTAGATGTGTATATGTTTTCCTTAATTAAAAGAACAGGGTGTTTTAAAAAAAGGTGGGACAAAGAACTTTACGAAATGGTAGATCACATCAAAAGCATCATTTCTAGTTTTGGATTGCCTGGTGGAAAGTGTGATGTTTATCTATTAAAGTGTGATGATCTATTAAAAAAATAAAAAAGCAATGAAATCTCTAATTATGCAGTAGACACTACTTAATGTGATCGCAGTTAATGTTATCATTTAGGTATTGTTATCGAAGAGTTCATATAGGAAAATATTTCGCTTATGATCAACAAATTGATATGATCAAAATATTATAGAATAAATTTTTTTAACTGAAATAAAGTCGCCAAAATAAGTTTAAAAATTGGAAAGTGACAGAGAAATGTCGAGATTAAATAAATTATTAAAATTAAACAGATAAGTTTTGATTTCAATTAAGCAACCTTTAGTTTGGTGTAGATTTTATATAATTCTGCCGATTTTGAGGGTGAGCAGATACAGGTCTTTCTTCTTCAGGAGGAAAAAAAATCTGCAGAATTGTTTTTCCCTATTCCTTGCTTCTGGAGGGGGGGGGGAAGAACGAAAATTCCATGAAAGCATTTACTAAAGTTGCATTTTTGGTCTAATTTTTAATTCTATATTGGAGTTCTCTTTTGACGAGGGATGCCCTCCAAGTATTAACATTAGAGATTCAGCATCCGTCAATTTCCAGAGATATAATGAATAGTTTATAAAGGAACTTTTACATTTAGAACATTGTGATAATAATATTCATAAGTAACACAGTTCATAAACAAATTTTTGCCTTATTTAAAAAACACCTATTCATATGTGGCTAATTATGTTTACAATAAATTAGTAAAATTCTATTGCTATTTTAAAGAAGCATTTTTTTCCTCGTTGTTTAGTATGATCATTCAAGATATGTTATCAAAATAGTCTTGGACAAAGGTGATCACAATTAAGTAGTGCCTACTGTAGTAACTGCTCAAAGAAGCATAATTCATGCCTCGCAGTGCTACCTGAAGGATTAGTGGATTTTCTGAACACACCGGGCACATTATACCCAGCTGCAGCTTTGACCAAAATTCTGGCAACAAATTCAATGGAAGCATTAAAAAAATTAAAATGAGGTTGGGATGTTAAAGAGGCCGAGGTATAAGAACACACTGCCCAAGAAAGTTAACATCGAGGTACTTCCTTATGTTTTGCCAAAATTGGGCTGGCTCTAGCTTGCTGGAATATCCTCTGCAGTTCTGGCAAGACTTCTCTACAAAAAAATATAGTACAGTACTTTCTTCTGGCGTGTGAAAAATAAGATACAAGTCCACTTGTGGCTGATGCCTGCTCCAACATTTACAGAAAACAGATACGGAGGTACAGAACTGGATATGTTGCCTGTTTACACATATTCACTGTGTATGTTTAATCATGTGGAAGGTGGTCGCATTTGTGAAAAGAAGAACTGAAAGAAAATCTAGTTCTACTGCAGCAATCAATGGATGGAGTCCATGCAGTGAGGATACTATGCGAAACAAGGCTTCCATTCTTTAATAATAGTGTGGCTGCAACTGTTTATCATGCAGCAGTTGCTATATCGTAGAATGTGGCGTACTGATGCTACATCCTGCGAATCGCATGTTTGTGTTTGGTTGAACTGTTACATTACCTATAACTAGGAATATTTATACTCCTTGAGCAACTTACTTCAGATATTATAGTGAGAAAGGATCCTGAATCACACTGCTGGCGATGCATGTTTAGAAACATTTTTTGGGTGGGCCACTAACCTTTGGGGAAAGTACTGAAACTATCTCCATCTGTTTTTTTCCACTAGAATAATCTGCTACATCCACTAGAAGAATGTGCATATTTGTTTTCTCACCGTTCATATATTGCTGCACCTTCTCAATAATTAAAAATATAAATGACTGTATATACCTAGAATAGTAATTTCATGTTTGTGAAACTGTCTCTTATTAGCAAGCAAGTGCCCTTTAGCACTTTTATGTTTCACATTGGACGATGCATTCTGTGACGAGGTAGTATTATTGGTTTGATATATACTGGTGTCTCGAACTCTTTTATTACATCTTTTTTAAACATCCTTTGTTTTTGATATCCAAAGCTTTCTTTCTCACCAGTTAGTAAATTCCAGTCACACTACAATTCGTTATGACTCTGGAAAAAAGTAATTTGGAGGAACCACTGATCAATGAAATTAGAGTTAAATATAAAATATGTAAATCCAATGTATTCAAACGTGTGTATAATTTATGCATGTTTAAATGGACTATAGTCGTTCTAACACTCCTGCCTACTTGTACGTGTACCTGACAAGGACATTTTGATAATGAAAATAGTAGTTTCCAAGCAGAAGCATTAGCTATTATTAAAGCAGTAGAATATATTGTTTGTAAACAATAATTACAATAATATTGTTTACAACACAAAATATTACAATAATATTGTTTACAATACAACATATTACAATAATATTGTTTACAATACATTTAAATATCTATATTGATAGTATGTCAGTACTTTTTGCAGTTTCAAATTGTCCACAGATATCATCATTAATTTATGCAGTTCGACAATCATTATGAAACATCAAAAGAATTTGGGTCAATATTTGCTGGATAAAAGCTCATGTTGGATCACATGGCAATGAGTTGGCGGATCAATTAGCAAGAGTGGCCGCCGAAAGTTATAATGCGGATTATGCTCCCATTCCTTGGCCTAGATCATATCTTAAAAAATACATCTTAACAATCCCTCTAAAAAAAATGGCAAAAAGAATAGAATTTTTTTTTAATAGAGCAGAAGCACCTTTAATTATCTGCCGACAGTTCATCTAAATTGCAAAATTTCGTTTTTCGCAATTATTTAAGGTACATAACAGGACTTAAGCCCTTCGCAACGTTTAGTATAAACATGGAGTAATACTCATCACTATGTATGAAGGGACATTGGATCTCCAGATCATTATGTAGTGGAAATGCCCTTTAATGAAATAATACAAGGGGTGATCAAATGAAA